TTTACCGAGACTGCTTCTCTGTATTCTTTCACTGCTTGAGCCGATTCTTTAACGATTCCTTTAATAATTTGTCCGTCATCAAGTTCAGCTTCGAAGCCACAAACAGCTGCCGCTTCGTGAATTGGAAATTTGTAGCTAGCGTCGATTGTATTCTTTTCGATATTTTTGTATGTCTGTGAGATTTTAACTAAATTTCCCAATAATATGAATATACGTCAATTAATTTATCCAATAAATAGCAAACATTTAATTACCTTCAGCAATCATATCAACAACTACAGTATATTTAATAAAGTAAACGAGATTAAATTAGAAATGATAATAAAAATTCACAAAAAAAATAAAATTTGCTTTACCATTCGCTTCAACTTGGACATTTTGCAATGGCACAGGCGTGTCGATATCTTTTGACTCATCGTTTGTAGTTTGCGTGAAAATAAGACCAAAGATTTGCATTTTTTAAAAATTCTTATTCAAGAATCTTTTTTGACATAAATGAAAGATAGAATTTTATAGCGATTGTACGCAGTTACGTAAATGGATTAGGCATCTTTTCTCCATTCGGAAATAATTGTTACGTATGTAATAAAAGTTACCGTTACTACGTATTACGTATTACTGCAGATCCAAGAAATTTATCCTATGTCATTTTCACGTGAAATTTTTACGTTGACGTATTTAAATGCTCTTTTAAAGTCTGAATACTGTTACATTTTCAACAAAAATTTCATAATTTTTAAATTATTATAAATTATGGTGTATCAGTATCGGTATCATAATACATGCTCATCAGAATATTCAGAAATCTCAACAGAATTGTATTTACATGTACATGTATACGTATAAATTTGTTGAACATCATTCTTTTTTTGCTCATATTCTTGTATACTTTCCACTTTATTTTCGCTTTTATTTTCAACTTTATTTTCACCTTTATTTCTCTTGTATTTTCCACTTGAAAATTAATAATTTTGCTATTGGTATATCTTATATTTTACCCATCAAATTCATATTTATTTTATCTTTATTTTCACTTTTACTCTCACTAATGTTTTATTTCTATTCTTGATATTATTTTCTCTCATGATTTATTTGTTTATTAGATTTTTCTTTAGAATCTTTCTTTTTACTGTGATCTTGATGTTTCTTGTTTCTCACCACTAATATTTATTATGTATTATGTATTATGTGTAATATTTCATTTATTTTTTGGTCTTTATTCTTCTTTAGTATTATCTATAAATAATGGTATAATTATTAGTCATTTAAACTGCAGAATCTATTAAAAAGAGTCCCCTATCACTAGAAACTCTCAAGCTCTAATCTAATAAAAATAACAAAAAAATTTTATCCTGATTTTGAACATGATCTTCGAGACGTGATATCTCTGCATCTAGTAATCAAAATTGGATGATTTTGTTATCATTAGATGCGCTTTAACATGGTGAATCTGTTATCAAAATTATATTTAACTTGGTTCACTGGATACAAAGATATTTGCATCTTTATATAAAAATATTTTTTCACATAAATTTCGGTTTAATATTAAATTTTTTATTTTTTATTTTTTATTTGAACTAATCATTGAAATTACTTGAACTTTAGATATATTGTACAATATGTTTTAATAAATACATTAGCTTAGAACAATAAATCTGGGTTTTTATTGGTTTTTGCGTTATTATATTTTAAAAGGGTCCACAATATTATGCTAGGTCACTGTAGTTATCAAATCCATGAAAAGTGTCAACAAAAAAGCCAGTGTGGTTTCTATCTCGGTATTTTCCGTGTGTTATTTAAACTGCAGTTTGGTTCAAAAGCCAAATACAATGGTTTCAAATTTATGAAACAATTAAGACCACGGTTTCTTAGTTGCTGTCATTTTATTGATTATAATTTTATAGCTGTAATTCTATTGGTCAAAATTCATCTTGTAACTGAACCAAACCGAATGTGATTTGGTTTGACCTGGTCCCAAGTAAAGTTGGTGATTTTATAGAAGTCAGATCAAAACATGATAAACTGGTTTGATTATATGAATAAATGCTATCGCTATTGGTTCAATAATCATGATTTTTAAATCAAGACTTGAACTGATGTAAATAATAACAGTAAAATGCTATTGATTCAACAAGTTTTTAACGTTAATAACTACTTACTGATATTCGGATGAAACTATCGCTAGCGTTTCGGGCGAAACTATTTTTCCAAATCCGAAACACCCAGTTTCAGTTTCGCTCTATAAGTCCAAACACTAGTTATGAAATTAATGATCACGGTGAGTAAATCGTGTTGTTCGATCACAGTAAGGACTGTGTTAGTAAAAAATGGTGGTTATCGTTATTTTTTATTATTAGTAATCTCATTCCTACTTCTTTTCACATTCTACATCTACATATCGATATTAATTTATTTACGTATTTGCTTTGTCGCCCGCCGTTACACACGATCGTGTGATTTAATGTTGTGGTACATCACGTGGCTATCAAATTTATTAGGAATTTCGTTAGGGTAGCGGTAGGTATCTGACGAAGATATAGATATATCTAAAATTTTTGCACTGAGGATTTTTACTTAGAGGTTAAAAGTTGGCATAATAAAATTTCAAGTTACATACATTACCCTCGAAAAATATCGCCCAATTTATAAGTAAAATACATATAAAAAATTTTTATAATTAAAACAGATTAATTTTAAAAGTTCCATAGGTCTTTGTTCATTTTTTCAAAAATATGATTAATTAGCTTTAAAATTATTAATAGCTATATATATATATAACTTGAAATTTTCATATAAAGCGTCAGAAAAATTTTACCATATAATTGGCCTCCTTCTAAAAAAGATTGGTGTAAGAAAATACACACTTCTATCAGTCTCTATCCAAAACGTGTCTCCAAATTTTAAGGATTGTGATACAGAGTCGATCATGACGAGTATCGATTTGACTCTCAATTGCGCGGAATTTTATCAAGTTAACGAGTCTTCGTCCATTAAGAACGACTGTTCAGCTTAAAGAATTGTATCAAAAACTGTAAAGAGTAAATTAAAATAACATTACTCGTAATGGTTCTTATATTTTTTTGACATGTCAAATGGCATTCAAGCCTGTGTTGATGTTTTAAGAGCATGATGACTTACTCGGAGGATCCCAGAAATGAATTTTTTGAGTAGTTGTTCATTAAAAACTTTCATTAAAAAAGACCGCCGGCCATTCCTTTCCGGTGTGACTGTACTTTCCAACCAAAACAGTCCTTGCATTTTAAGTTGCCACAAGTCTTGTATTATTTTCAAAAATACAATCAATAAGCTTTAAAATGACATAAAATTTAGAAGTATTATAAAAATTTAGATATTCACGTGATGTACCGGGCTTTAACGCACCCCGATCATACCGGAGGATCAATGAGGTTCATGGTTTGACTCAAACCGGTTTTTCAATAACTACAACTTTATGATAAACTTCCAGCATCATTAGCATCTGATATGAAATCACAAATTATTTCCTTTAGTTAATTGCGATTGCAGTGTTAAAATATATATCATATGTTATTAGATGAAACTGGTAAGCATTAATTTATACATGTACAGTCAAACTCTAAATGCATACTCTAGGCCCGGGGCTTAATATATTTTTATGACCTTTAAATGCATAATATAAACCAGTCCAAAAATATGCAGTTAGAGGATTTTGACTGTTCACAATAACAATACATGTAATAACGGAATGATATACGTATAGTGAGTCATTTAAATCGACGAAAAGAACATAGCTTGCATATTGTTTATACGTAAATTTTCTTTCATGATCTTATAACAGGATCTAACGTTACATTAGTAAACCCGATATAATGGGGGTGCATTAACTAATCAAGAGAAACATTAGCGTGTTGATTGAGTTATCGTTAGCACTATAATTATAACATTCATAAAATAACATTCATAAAATAACATTCATAAAATTATGGAAAAGTTTACTTTAGTTTTTAATACGTAACATTCCGAATGAAGACAAAGAAACAGCTGGATAAACTTTATCGGCGAGATCACGGAAAACTGTTTTCATTTTTATTCCATTTATTGAGAAAGAGAGGGTTCTTTCCGACATATCCAAGTGGCTCGTAACCGTATCACCTTCTTTGAAAGCTGCTAATTCATATTCTTGTTTTATTTGTACAATGTGATATAGTTTGGAATAATATGAGCCGTCAGAACTAATACACCAACAATCAGGTTGCCAGATAAGACTTTTTGAAAATTCAGGTTCTGATTGTTCTATTTCAGTAGAAGAGATGACTCCAATCGCCACATGTTGGCTGTTTTGCTCTATCACAATATCCCATTGAAAAATATCTTTACCCTTGAAAGCTTGTTTTGCTATGGCCATTTGACTTCGACCTCGGGTAAAAGATTCAACTACTGTTTCGTCATGCTGATGGACGATCATATGTGGTCCACACTGGAGTTTATTCCAGGTTATTTGTTTGTTTACGAAGGCTCCTCGTGTAGTTTTCGTAGGATGTTTTGAAATAGCGTGAAGTCGGTACGCTTCATTCACACATTTTAAGCTAAATAACCTTAATGGGTCGATTATCAAACCAATGATTTTCACATTTATCAATTGTAAATCGATGAGAGGTAATAATTGGTCAATTTGCTTCAACAACTGGTGACGATAGTTTGAAAAATTGGATTCCTCGATTAATTCCTCGTTTTTTTGAATAAATTCATCGCAGAATTTGTCAACAGAATCGGCAATAGGTAAAACTTTAGAATATGCGAAGAGAGTTTGTGGTGAAACTTTATTAGCTCCCCATAGGACAACATATCGAAAAATGCCGTATTCAGATGTGGCGAAATATTCGTCTTGATCGAGTGTTTGTGATAATAACACTTTTAGCATATCAATCGACATCTCATTAAATGCAAAGGTAAATAACGGAATCCTCTTCATCTTTTTGCAAAGCAATTTATATAAAAATTGCCCTTTATCAAGTTTTTGTGCGTCGGCTTTAGTAATCATTGCCGAAAAAAGTCTAACAATACTAATGTTATCGTTTTCACTGAAAATTTTTCCTTCAATAAACGAAACGGTAACTTCTTCCAAAACAGGTAGAAGCAAATAATTTGCAGCATAGAATACGTCAATGGCGTTGGTCGCTGTCAATTTATTGTTCTCGACATTGCCCGTATAAAGAAATTCCAACACAACTTTCATCGCCGCAGTCGATATTTCTGGCAAAGATATTTCTGGTTCGTGGGTTTCACGCATTCCGGTAAAAAACATTTTTTCGAAAAATTCACAGCGTGCCGCCAGAATCATCCGACAACCATAGAGAATCTCGTTGTTGTCCTTGCCGGAATCCGAACATTTGATTTTGATATCACTATATCGAGAATTGTTCAGCATTATTTTTAAATCTTTTACTAGAGATTCACCTCGATTCATTTTTTAACGTCAAGTTTATAGAAATCCAAATGCAATGTGCTATCGTTATCACTGTTGCGTATACTATCGCTATCGATAATTGTACATGTGTATCGATACAAATTCGGTTCATTTGTCCAACATTCCGAAAAACAAAGTACATGTATGGTGTGTATCATCAAACGTTTTGTGTAACTTTGAGCTTATCTCTACATGTACATAGCGAAAATGATTATCAATAAAATCATCGATCCAGGCAAAATTATCGTTATGCTTTTGTATATATAAAATTCTTGGCCTTCGGATCAACATTAGTAGAAGTTACAGATAACAATAACTCCTAATCGTAATTTAATATCTTTAAAGAGTTTAGGGGTTTGACAGATATTACGTAATTATCAGAGGGGAAGGAGTCTCAAAAATCTCACCTTTCACTTTATCAAAAATAATTAGCCAATTAAATATAATAAAAATCTCACCTGGGGGTAGGTGATTAGCTCTTTATAGTAACTCAATACTACGTAATATCTGTCACTCCCCTTATTGTATATGTTTATTTAATGTCAAAAGTTAAATTAATTCTTAATAAAAGTAATTTGCCGCAATCATAATAAAGATATATACGTAGTGTTATAAATTGGAACGAAATGTGTGTTAATTTCAATTTAGGTTGATTCTAAATCAACCTAGATTGATTCTATATCGATATAGACACAATTCTAAATCAACAGCATTTGTTATCGTTATCGTTATGTACTATCGCTAGTAACGATTTACTATCTGTTGTGACCGAATTACCTGACAGGGATCATAGTGTAACAGCGGCAACAAAATAATATCGATATCGATATAAAGTACGTAATTACGTATATTAATTAGACAAAGGGAAGAATTTTGTATAAATAGAGTGCAAGGAGAAGGAAAAATAAAGAAGGATATCTATTAAGGTAGGAATAAATAGCGACAGAAGAAAAGAATAATATTCCCAAAAACAATTATTGTCTAATTTGTAAAAAATATACGCACATTGTTTTCATAAATAAATAATCGTTATCGTTATCATTCCTTAAAAATTACGTACCTCAATTGTGACGCTATCTCGGTCGTACAACACAACTTATACACGTGAAGGTGAATGAGTAGATCTTTGTAGATCCTAAACATAATTTCTTAATCCCTGATTCACGCTGTCATATCCGAGAATCAAATAATTTGATGGAAAGTCTTGGGACATCTCCTAAGACTTATTGTCTGTCCCCCGGATATATCCGGACGAAATAACCCTAAAACTCGACATAAATACAGAAGACATTACAGTTTTTATTATAAAGTTCGTTATAACAAAGGATAGTTAAAATTGCGTTCTAAGAATTTTTGAAAATCCAAAAACACACAACTTTCGTTACAGTAAACGTTCCAAAGATTTTTTATACAGAGAATCAACTGTAACCCAAATGTCAAAATGTAATAGCAATTCACGACATTTAGAGATAACGTCTGAATTATACTGCCTTTGTTCGAATTTCGTCTGAATTCTATCGCCTTGCTGTGAAAATAGTTCGAATTCAACAGAATTATGGTATTGAATTGCTACTGCAGTTTGATATTTGGACTAATGAGAAGCCTATAAAAAGACACTTCTTTCAGATTTGCGAGTCAAGACAGATAAAATAGATTTACTCAAGACAAAACTTGAATTAGTCTCCAATGATTAACCTCAAAAGTCTCTGAACTATAGTGCGCCCAGTTTAGTCACATCAAATACTTTGAATTGCAAAGGATTTTTTATATGAACTTTAAGATAAAATACATTACATGATAGTACTGATCAAAACTATTAAATGTATTTTTTTTACATTTAAAGTTATATATATTTTTTATTGAGAAGATACAAATTTAAAAAATGCATTTTTTAAAAATTTCAGCATTATAAAAAATAATCTCACTTAAAAATCTGCAAAATTTTCAGCGCCTTTGAAGTGACTAAGGGTGCTAAATTATTCGCAAATCTAGTTACAATAGGTGAACGAAAAAATCGTTTCTCCCTCTGAACTCTATATATCTTTCAAACCAAGTATTCCTCATAAATTTCCTATGGAGTGCGAGTTGTTAGAGGACGATCCGGATCAATCAATTCCAAAGAAAAGTCGTATGAAATACATTAAATATGGAAAGAGAGCATTTCCAATAGAAACAGAATTAACATTTCAAATTAAAGTCTCTTCTCTAAAATCGCATAACAAATATATTACACTTCCAGAAAATACTACACAGTCTTTGCAATCAAGCATCTTTAAACCTGAAAAAAATAGAAAGCAATGGTTTACAAAAGCAAAGTATCTTTCCATTAAGAGTGAGACTGATTTTAAAGGATCTTCCAAATGTCCAGAGCAATTTATATTCACTATATTAGACCTCTGCGGAACCCTTTCCTAACAAGAAAACTTCTAACAGGTAAACTCTACTCTAATTCCTTCTATCAGTATGCATATAATTTTTATTCTTTTATTTAAACATAACAGAAACAAGCTGAAAATTTCAAGTTATATATATTTCTATTTGAAATTATTTCTAAATTTTATATCATTTTAAAGCTAATCAATTATATATTTGAAAAAATAAACAAGACTTATGGAACTTTTAAAATGAAGAACTGTTTTAATTATAAAATCAATAAAAAATTTTTATATGTATTTTACTATATCTGGCGATATTTTTGGGGTACTGTACAATATATGTATGAGATAGTTGCAGAAGATTCTAAAGCACCATGCTATGAAGATATCACATTAAGTTATACGTATCTCACCAAAAGAAATTCCGCATATAGGTGTTTTCTCTGAAAGGAGCATGTTACACTGTACAAAACCAGATTATCCCTTCTTAATGCATAGATGCCGGAATATTTATGTAACTCAAGAATACCACCATGTTTCTCGCATTTAGTTCTGCTCAAGGGGGAGATTGTGGATGATGCAAAAATGCCCCCTATGATTATTACAAGAACGGGAAGATGGGATATTCCTAGTGATACCTGACGAAATTGATTTAATTAGTAGACGAAATTAAATTTGACGAAGTGATGAAACTATAATAATTAGTGATGAATTAATACATAGTTGGAATAATATATCACTTGAATAAATATATTGTCAGAATCGTAGAACACGGTGTGGATAAGATAAATCTCAGGTTTGGTGTCTCGATCCATGTAATAATCAAATCATCCCTTGGCAATTATTGGGTAGTGGAACGTGAATATCAGATTGAAAATAAAGTATATATCAGTGAAACTTTGTATCAAACGATATCTAGTAAAATTCGTGCTTTGGGGTGAGGACAACCCTAACTATAATAACCGAAAGAGACCACAGAATAGGGATACACATCAATTGGTCTAGGACTGTATAGCAACCTGAAGTATCGGCTTCAAGCTGGATAGCCGACTCAGCTAGTTGATATTCTTGAAAACTGGCTAAATTTAGGGATCGGTTAAAGCGTAGTCCATCCGAAGAACAAACCAATGAAGATGCGTAAATTTTTAAACAACCCGGCAAAACAAATTTGAAGCAAAGACAAAAAGATGAAAAAATACGGAAAACGGGTGCGTAAATCTTGGAGCATTAATTAAAAATGTTGGGAAGGCAATTTTATATACATGTATAACCTTGATCTCCTCCCCAACCCTAACCTTAACGCTAAAATTACCTTTTAATATTTTTAATATATATCACGTGATAGCCTACGCTTTAAATTTAGAATACGTATTACATGTACTATGCGATCATCACTGTCAATCCATACAGAAATTAATAGCGATAGCTATTTCTGTTCAAAGATATATAATGAGTGAGGTGAGGTTAGCATATACACCACCCATCACACAGAGAATCCATCATTGCTTTATTGATTAAATTACATACTACAGTTATATGCTATTATACAATGTGTGACAATGCTGTCTATTTACTAGGACTCTGCAATGCCTTCCAGAATATTTTATTCAAACGCGCTGCATTATTATATTTAAGTAAAGCTTTTATCGTATACCATCTTCCCTTCTTATATGTTAACTGGTTGTAGAATTCCTCTTCATTTATACGGTGGACTTCTAACCACCAATTCGCGTCTGGAAGTGTTTTCAGATGAGCTATGTTGAGCGCGAATCCTGCGAAAATGACAATGATTTTCACGGTTTCAAGATAACCTTCGTGAAACAGGTTTGTCACACCGTTGGAAATGATTGGTTCCAACGTCGTAGCGATTTGTTGACATTTGAAAAAGAGTGCGACAATAGCACTTGATGTAAATATTATATATTCGAGGAAAAATATGGTTTCAAAGAACAATATGACTTCTCTTCTGCTTCTCAGTTGCTTTGACATTTTATTCATTGACTTTTTGAACAAATATTTTGTCACATCAAAGTTCAAATGTCTGATCAACAAGAACAGTGAGAAACCCGAACTAGCTTTCATATAACTAATCAGCTGATATAAATGGTAGCCGCTGGGCTGAGATTTTTTTTTGAAGAGGACTTGAAAAAAAAAGATGAAGACAGTTACAAGCAGGCAGGCAATAACACCGAACTCAAAGATGTGAATGAACCAATCAACTCCGCTTCTGTTATCGGCGAATGCGCCAATGGAAATAGAGAAGGTATTAATCGCTATCCTCGTTACAAGCCAGCAAAGATATATAATGCACTTTGAATCGGCAAGCATGGTTGACTTTATTTTAAGTATGTTGATTAAGTTCTTAATAAAAGTGATCTCTTCGGTTTCTTCTGATGTACATTGCTTTTGCAGATAAGCTACATAAGCTTCGAAAAAAGTACGGCTAGTATAAATCTGAGTCTTTTCCATTTTTTGTTTGAAAAAAAGCATTAAAGTGCGCGTATAGTTAGAACGAAGCACTTGACAATGCAGTCAGCTATAACCTGATTAGCAATGTGCTTCCTGGTATAAATATGATCTCATATAAGCCATCGTCATATGCAAACAAACAATACCAAATACACATTTGCTAAGCCAACCCGACACCATTAATAACCACATAATCCCAAGCCAGTAAAGGCGATCATTTCGGAAAATTTGACGGTGATTAGTAGAAAGAATAACGATAACGAGATAGGAATACGTTACACTGCATATTCTAAACTACCGTAATTTGCTATTTAGAATATCCCCCCTATAATATCATACCCCCCCCCCCAATGAATTGTACCCGGTCCGATGCATGGTTTACAAAGTGGGTAGAATGTAATATACCCCCCTTGTAATTCTGGTCAATATAGACTAATTCTGGCTGAAACTATTATTTCTGTATAGAATATCCCCATATAATATACTCTCCTGCCGTACAGTGTATTCCCCCGGGTACAAATCGGATTTTAGCTGGTAGAATGTAACATATCCGGGGTATTCTAAACGGCAAATTACGGTACGTATCGTTAATGTAAATAAACATCATGATAATAAAACTTTACATATCTTATCGTTATATTCACGCTGAAAATTGGAACATTAGTTTGAAATAATAAACTTTTGGAATCAAGAGATATTAATTTTTCTGCTATTAACTCAGTGATATCCGTTTAAATCAAATAATTTTTGATTTAAAAACGAAAGAAGAGACTTAACTATCAATCCAAGTCGGATATTTCAATTAAATAATTTATTTATTGTCTCTAATAACATAATGTTGAACAATTATATTAAAAAGGTGTTTAAATAAATGCTCTATTTGATTCGATTAGTGGCTTGAAACATCCTCATTTGTGGGATTTACTATGTGGCTTGGACTAAGTTTGTTATGATGTCGATACACGCTGCTAAGCTCACCCAAGCACATCTGATACCTGATCAGTGACCCGATTTGATTTGTTTTTCATCATCTAAATTTTGTTATAACGATCACTAAAATTTCGTATGCTTTACTTATCTTTCTATGATCCCAATTGTAACTTAATGGTTTGTCTAACCAGTTCAACAAATGAGAAGACAAAGATGGTAACGTTTAATCAGGAAAAAAGATTGGTAATCAAGAATAAAAAATAAACGGGTTTTTTGTGGTCGATATTTCAAAAATGGTATCTCTTGACGCATAAGGAAAGACATTCTAAACGACTATCTTTTACAAAAATTGCAAAAATAACGATAACTAAAAAAATCACCTGACAAAAACAAATCTCAAAAAAACCTTTCATCGACAATTCCTCGGTAATTTCGATGATGGTGATATCAATACATGTATAAAATTTAATTCGTATAATTTGAACGTAAAATCGACCATAATGTAGGGTTTTAACACACTAGCTGCTAATAATTAAAAATATTTGCTAGGTTCTATTATACGTATATATAAATTTTCATAAAATTTTGCACATTGCTTCACGAGATATTATCCGAAACGCAAATAAATCGCTTTAATGCGTTGTAGCAATTTATTTACGTTTCGCATAATATCTCGTGAAGCAATGTGCAAAATTTTATGAACTTTATATATATAAGTAGAATAGAACCTAACAAATATTTTTAATTATTAACATTTAGTGTGTTAAAACTTGACATTATGGTAGATTTTACTTCAAATTTCACGAGTAATATTAATCGGTGTATCGGTATTTATCGTTATTCATTGATCAACATTTCGGTAAACCGTCGGTAATTACCGAAATTTACCGACCGATCGATAATGATTTTTTACCGAATCGTTCGGAGTCTTATTCCTCGAAAAACATTCTGAATAGTGTCTGTCTATAGTGCCTTTTGGAAGAATAAAAATATGACACCTCAGAAGACCTCTGAAAAAACAATCAGAAGAGTTAGAGGAAGGTGAGTACTCTGACAGTCCCGTCCTGATTCATCCTTTTATCAAGAAAATCACAAATGCTATGACTCTGATAATGATTGTAGGATTTAACAATCAACCATCAAAATCCTCGTATAAAAAATCTTACTGAACCAAAAGGAATTGAACACCGAATCCAATGACAACACATACACTTGATATAGTACTAATTGGCAGTCACCAATTATACTCGTTGCATAAATCAAAATAATTCCTGTCTTTAACAACAACCAAGTTTAAGAGACTGAACGTCAGATATACCAGATTACAGCAATATATCAAGTAAAAAATAATTAACTTATTCTTGAAAAAATCTTTACAGAAGTCGATCAACTTTCTGAAAACAAACAGATACCCAAAGAAATAGCTCTTTGAATCAAAACCCTTCCTTCAGAATTAGTAAGTCAAACAACAATAATGCTATCAATTTCATAGCTTCAACAAAAAATGAAAATCCTCGCGGAGCCCAATTAACTAGCATTAAAATGGTTCTTTTTAATATTTTCAGTGTGGAGCGGCTTTCACGACTAAAATCGAATCCCTCTGCGGCAGAGTTCTGCACGACCCACCCTCACGCTATGCAAGAGCCTGGAGGAGATGGCATTGGGTTAGGGTTAATAATGAATGTAATAATTTTGAAGGAATATCAGCGTAGGCAAAAGTACCATTGCAAACCTGCTAAAAGAATACCTGGAATCAAAATCAGAATGCAGAGCAACACGATATGAAGAACCTGTCAAAATGGAAAATGCTAAAAGAAATTTATGACAATATGAAGAAAGTTTTAAACATATAATGGAGACACAAAAATTACCTAACTCACTAAAACTTTATATACAGCTCAAGGCGTCCTACTATCAACAAAATTCAACTGGCATACAACTGAAGAACAACCAAATAAAATCTTTGTACAATACACATTATATGAATATGAATAAGTAACATCTATCATGATCCAATTCTTGAAAATTAATTAGAATTATGCACAAGAAAATTTAAATCAGTTACAAAACTCTCATTTAGGCTGCTATAACCAGCTGTTCTGTTCAAGCTAATACTAAATATATATCTTCTAAAATTATTTAAAACTCTAAAAGTGAGAACTCTGAATATAATAATATTCATTCTTTCTCCTTCAAATACTTTGATTAATCCTCTTGAATCTTATCATAGCAAATTAAAAACAAGAACTTTTTATAACACATAGTATTATTAGTAAGTTTTTTGTCATCTGCTTATTATTATGTTGTATTTTTATTTATATTATTTTCTTATTTATACATACCATATGATACTAGAACTTAATGAAAAGAAAGAGGTAATTGTTAAAGAAATTGTCATTACTTTTCATATCAAAATAATATTTATTATTATTATCAAATCTGAAGTTCTTTCTGAAATTTTCTTTCTCTATTCAAAAATTCATTGCAGAAAAAGCACACACTGTCTCAAAAAGATTACAAGTAGGAAAAGAAATGCTAAACCTCATGACTATGAAATGTGATTGCAAATTCTTTAATCCCTATATATTATTCTGTCATTATGTTTTTCACAAACAGCTCTGCTCTGTAATGATATTAATATTTTGATATCCAAAGTTTGAAGAGATTTTCAAGAAAACTTAAAGAAAGTGGTTTGAGGTGTATCAATCTCGCAATTTAATGAAAATATCACGTCAGCTAGAAATTGAAACAGTTGAGGAACACAATCAGTTAAAAATAAATAAGTTATTCAAAAGAGCATGGAATTGTTATTATAATTTGGTGGATCAAGACAATACAGAAGAAGTAAAAAAGTTTATTAAACATTTAGAAGAGGTTTTAAAACCAATTTTTGAGTAAAAGCGTTATAGTATAATTTTTTGGTTTTTATTTGTTAAATAATTTTAATATTTTTGAATATATTTTATATATATTAATATTTAAAAAAAATAGTTAATGCATATAAATAAGAAAAAAATAAGCATACAATTAATCGCGATGATAACTTTTACTCTTTCTTTTTTCCTTTAGTTTTATACTTTATTTTTACCTTAATATATATAAACATATGGTAATAATAATATGCATATGAAAAGAATAATTACACATGAAAATTTTAATAATGCATTTTTAACAATAATATGATAACAATAACACAATAACAATAACATAAAGTAATGTGATTACCTATTATTACTAACAGGTGAAAGAAGTTAGTAATTTAATAATTTGAATAATATGGGTGTTCTGTTAGAAAAAGTAGTGATTTGGAATTGATAATTACATAGACAGTGAGAATAGAAATGGGAAGATAATAAGAGATGAATCACTATCATCATGTAAAAAAGAGTGTGTATAAAGAATTACATTAATAACAATTCAATGTTCCCTTAAAAAATAATTTTATAGTTAATTAATCTCTTATATTTTGGTTATAATTATTCAAATTTATCGCACTTTGTATAGTACGATCTTGAATAAACGTTGTTTTTAAGAAAAAAATCATCTTTCTATATTGTATGTAATCTAAACATCTGAAGAAACAGCAAAAGTATCGATACGTCTGAGAATTCTAACAATTATGATTGACCAATCAAGTTTTAGATCAAAATTTTACGTAATAAGTCACGTTATGGTGATCAAATGTGGCTGGTATATGGCTAAATGGCTTGCCTTGCTTTAGCGATCCCCCAAATCGAGCGTTACTTTCTGTGGCGACTGTACATGTGATCAGGAACTGAGCACAATTCTACTATGGTGCATAACACCAAATGTTTGTATTTTATAAAATGTATTAACTTCTTTACTAAGAAGTAAATGCAAAATTTAAGCTGTGAATAATATAGAATAGGCCCTTTCTGAGCATACAGTGCTGGTCAGAAGTAACCTACCCCCCCCCCCCCAATAACTTTCTATAGATCATGTTTAATGTACCAAAATTTTCCGAGCACAAAGAAAATTACAAATGCTAATCATTGATACTTTTAATAAATTGATAGTTTCTATGTTCATAAACTTTCACGTCCAAATATAATCAGTTATTTCATAACACGTATCTCAATATCCAATAATCTAATTCTTAGCGTCCAGTGATCCGATTTGAATAAAAATACTACCATTCAGTTCGTCTAGTCGAATGGTAATATTTTTGTTCAAATCGGATCACAGGACGTCGACTAAAGCAACTGATTGACATTAACAAAAATTAATCAGCTAATTTAGGACGTGATATCTCAATTTCCAGTAATCCAATATAATATATACCATTCGATTTATCTTGAATAGACAAATCAAATGGTATATATTATTTTTGTTCAAATTGGATCACTGGATGTCAAGATATTATATCCTAAATTGATCGATTTAATCTTTTGGCGATCAATTTCTAATACTAATGAAAAATTGATCGACAAATATGAATCTGCCACTTTAGGATGTAATATCTCGACATCCAGTGAACGAAAATATCACCATTTGATTTGGCTAGATTAAATAAATCGAATGGTAGTATTTTCGCTCAAATTAGATCATTAGACGTTGAGATATTATGTCCTAAAGTGACCGATTTATTGTATTTGGGGCATGAAAGTTTATGAACATACAATATCCGCTATAGAAGCTCTATCAATTTACATGTATAAAAAGTATCAATGATCAGCATTTGTAATGTTCTTTGTACATGTGCTCGGAAAACTTTGGTACATTAAACATAATCTACAAAAAGTTATGGGAGGTTACTTCTGATCAGCACTGTATTCACGGATGAATTTTGTATTTACTCCTTAGTAAAGAAGTTTATGCATTTTATAAAATATAAACGTTTGATGACTTTAGATGTTATCGTTATCGTTATGCACCATTAGCGTTAGTTGTTGTTTAAGTAAGATCTTAACGTTATCGTTATATCGATATGTATAGAGTTTCCAACTCCATCTATTTAAAATTGATGCTTTATGCAAAATCGAAGTATTCACAGCTTGCCGCTAAAAAGACCATAGTGATGAAGAATTTAATATCAGTGTGAATTGTATAACGTTTCATTTTGATTAATGGGAAGAAAAATTAATTTTTACTCATTACCATTATTCTATTCTTTATTACGTATAACAATTGCTTTGTGTCAAACACGTGCATGTAATTGGTAACTACCGCTACTTTATTGTCTTTCACTTCTAATATATACGTTACATGATAAATCAATCATAAATTTGGAGTTAAAATCTAAAGATAATGTAACATTTAATTTATATTTTATTCTACAACATCAAGTTTCCAAAGATTTCCATCACTACCACTATGAATAGCGTAAAAATTCGTTGAAGTGCTAACGGCCGCTAAAGTGTTTGACCAATCATCTTCTTGTCCAATCCAATGTTTACCATTTGCCGGATTCATTTCATACAAATTATCACCAAATACATAAATATAATCCTTATAAGCCACCAAAGTATTCGCCACGCCAAAATCATAACTAAGTCTCTTATGCGTATAATCATCGAGATTTAATTTAAATATTTCGCCGGAAGTTTTCAGCACATACGCGTAATTGTCGAGAATGGCGACCGATTTCGTGGTACTCCAGTCTTCGTTATCCATTTCACATGAACGACCATCCGGATACACTTCCCAAATTTTATCTGAGAATACAATAAGATAATCTTTATGTGCGACTAAAGCTTTTATCTTTTTCGCTTCGGTGAAAAACTCTTCCAATGGTTCAATGAACCAATCTTTTAATCGTATTTTCGAGAATGTTCCGGATTTGTCGACTGCGTAGAGGAAATCGTTAAGTATAGCTGCTGCAATTGTTCCTGTTGAATAATCCGCCTTTTTCTCTGACTCTCCGTTTGGAGTTACTTCGTATAAGGCATCGGAAAAGATTAATAGATTTTCACCGTGTGCGATAATTTGTGTAGTAAGTCCCCAATTTAACCCGATTGTTTCCGAAGTAACTGGCATTTTTAAATATTTTCTTAACAAAATTATTTGAAAGTGTTTGTTTAAAGAACAGATTTTTGAATTGATGCTTGATACTTGTCGTTATGCTTCTTTATATACTGTACGTATACCGTAATCTCTAGAAAAACTAATTTTTTGTATGCATTATGAAGACTTTGAACACATAAATAACACACACACTAGACTGAATGTGTAAAAGACGCAAGTTTCATGCAAATTAAAGCGCTTTTATAGACCATTCAGAGATGAAAAGAATCAAAAAAAAATTACATTATCGTTATGTGCATGTTCATAAATAGAAATATTGTATTGACCGCAAAAAGATTATTTTGCGCCCGATGTAGCAACGGGAAAGAATCTTGTTGAGTGCTATGGCCATACCATTCTTATCAATATACATATGTACATTACCATAAATGGCTCGAATTAAATGCACTTCAATGTCAAATTGAACACACGATCTGCGAGAATTTGTCAAATAGCTTTACCATTACCATTACCATTACCGTTACGTAAAAGCGAAAAAAAATCTTAACGTTAACGTTAAATGTCTATGGTGCTGTTACCGGGTTAAGGCAGTGATGGACAAAATTAGGTCATTTGCTATTGACAAGTGACTTTTGATCACTGGTCACTAGATTTTAATATTAAGATAAGGTCATTTAGTAGTTCACTTGACTTTGAGGTCATTTAGTAGTTCACTTGACTTTGAGGATAACTTCGTTAACGTTAATCTCCCAATTTTGTTAAACCCGCCTGGCCCGATTTCGTTAATCTATTTTTATTCGCATCAAAATTCTATGCGATATTCGCTTTTGTTTTCTATTTTAATTTCGCTTTTGATCTCATTTTCTCTCTTAAACAATAGAGTGCATTATGCAATATGATGCATAACATCTAAAGTCATCAAACGTTTGTGTTTTATAAAATGTATAAACTTCTTTACAAAGAAGTAAATACAAAATTTAATCCGTGAATATGCTCAGAAAGGGCCTATTCTATCATATTCACGGATTAAAATTTGTATTTACTTCTTTGTAAAGAAGTTTATACATTTTATAAAACACAAACGTTTGATGACTTTAGATGTTATGCACCATAGGTTCTAAAACGATACTTCACAACATAAACAAAAATATGTATTTATAGTCCTCGCGGATGTTAATAAAAATTCAGAATTAAATTGCGTACAATTCTTCTCCAAGTAAATTAGACTTGTAATTGATTGTGGTTAGGTCCTTTGATCCAGAAAAGGCGTTGATATTGTTAAACGGCATATTGATTGATTAAGAAACGCTTTGTGATTGAAAACAACGATTGGTAGTTAATAGGAAAAATATTATCGATAAACCATCACGTAAAACATAAAACCTAAAACCATTTCACCTAAAAACCCAAACCTGCTGAATTCCCTTCTCTACCGTCATACTGAACGATATCGGCACAGTGATTAGAAACGAACGAACACCACTCAGTCTAATCATTCCCCCAACCCATTGTTGCAGGTAAAATCGTTGATTACGCCTACCCGTGACAGTGCATAACATCAAACAATTTAATGTAAATTTGAATTCTATCTAGTCTTTCAAATTTGATAATTTTAACAAACTAAACCATAAAAATGATAGTTAGGTCAAGTTTATCACTTTTACTGCTTATTTTAGAATTATAAAGATTTAAAATTATGTATTTTTGTTGGATTTTATTAATTAAAAATAACAAACTGGAATCAACAATTGTTATTAAAATTAAACTGATTTGACTGAAAAGTCGATAACTTTGGGATTGGTTAAATATCATGTTATCATAACTGGAACTTGAATTATAAAAATTTACAAAAATAACAAAACCAGTGAAAGCACCAACTTTAATTAAAGAATATTATCAACTCAAATCAATATTTTCACAAAGAACTTTTCAACAAGAACCAAGATTATTTTATATTTGTTATTCTAAATAAAGATATCCTTTATCTTGGTTATAATATTGGAATTGTATTAATATAACAAAAATTATTTGGAAAACAAATACCAAAACTATTAATATATTTTGAATAAATATTGTCATTGGTGTAAAACTGTTTAAAAAACTATATAATAATTATACACTTTGCAATTCAATACAAAACAAAGAAAACTAAATTATTAATTTGTTAGATAATAATTCAAAAAAAATAATAAACAGAAATTAAAAGTACAATATATAACTAAATAATTTAACTAAAATACAAAATCAAATAATATTAAAACTAAATAATTAACTCTTTTATTTCATATTAAAAAATATATTAAATCAAAACAAAAAATAAACAATTTAAAACCAAATCAAATAATAATAATTCAGAAATTTTTATAATATTACAAGAATTATAAAATATAATATAACTATTTAAAACTTGAAATAATAATTAAAATAATATATAAATAAATATATATTATTTGAATATATAATATAAAATATTTAAAGTCATTAAATATTTGTATTTTATAAAATATATAAACTTCTCAAATTTTTAATCTATAAATATAATAGAATAAATTTTTTTCTATTATATTTATGAATTAAATTTTGAATTTACTTTCTAGTTAAGAAGTTTATATATTATTATAAGTTTAATCTTTGTTATTAATAATTAATTATTTTTATTTATTTTATTTTATTATTTTATAATTTTATTTATTAAAAATATTTTATTTACTTTTTATCTAATTAAGATAAATTATAATTATAATTTTATAAAATCTAATAATTAATAACAATTTTTATTTTTTTTAAAAATTATTTAATATTTGATATTTTTCTAATATTTAATTATTAAAAATTACTAAAAAAAATATTTTTTATTTAAATTATAAATTTTTATCAAATTTTTTATTTTTTATAATTATTTCTATTAATTTCAAAAGTATTTCTCTCAAAATTCAACAATTAATTATAAAATTTCATAATAAAATATAATAATAATTTAAATTTTAAATCACTTTATTTTTTCTTTAATATATAAAAACAAATAATAATTATAATAAATTAAAAAATAATAAAAATAATAATAAAAAAAATAATACAATAATATCAAAATTTATTAATTAAATTTAATTAAATATAGTAAAATATCGATTTTTTTATATAAAAGTTTTTAATTTTACTAATAAATATTTTTTATTTTATATTAAAATAAAAATAATATTACATATTCAATATAAATTTTTTCAGATTTTTTAGATTTAATTTAATAAAACTATTCTAATTACATATAAAATTAATTATTTTTTATATGCTTTAATTATAAAAAATAATTAATTTTATATGTAATTAGAACAATTTTATTAGATTAAATCTAAAAATTTGAAAAAATCTATATTAAAATATATATTTGTAACAATTTTCACATACCCTTGTAATTTCTTGTGTCATGTCTATCTTTTTTCGTGTTATATTTATTATTTCTTGTATAACATGTTAGAAATTAATACAGATCTACATTTAATACTTCTTAATGTTTTACTAATTAGATTAGATATAAAATATAAATCATATTATTAATTTGGATACACATTGTTTTTAATTACTTTTATTTTTATTTGTTCTTTTTCTTTTATTATTTTTAATTCGTATTAATTATCTTTTATTATTATTTATATTTCATACATATTCATTAAG